TCTACACAGATACTGTACATGGGTAGGGTGAGGTCTAGGGATCGAACCCTGGGTACTGCATCCGCTACTGCTAAAAGGTGAAAACCGTTTCATATGTGCGCAAAATAACAAAACTCCATTAAATCGGCAGAGGATTCTGGATGCTGTCTACGTACTGGTATTCAAACGTTGGGTGCAACCGAACGACTTCACAAATTCAAGCAGCGGACACCGCGCCACATGAAACGACGATGGGCCTGCGTAATCGAGCCCCGACCTTTTTGGCAAAACGAGAAAAAATAATCAAGCAGAGGACACCGCGCCACGTGAATGGCGATGGGCCTTAGGAATAGAGTAGCGGACACGGCGCCGCTCCAATCAACGGTGGGCCTGCGGAATAGAGCAGAGGACACTGCACAGCCCCAACCTTTTTGTGGAACGAAAACAGTAAGAGACAAAATAAGAAGAGCTCACCCGGGCCTCGGAAAACGGGACACCGCTGGGACATGGTGGGCCCAGCAGGGAGCGTCTTTCGAGACCCGCTCCACACCGGAGTTCATTTTTTTGCTCCACGCTAGAGTTGAAGTTAAAGTTGAAGTTGAAAAAATAGATGATGGTGGAATCAATACTCCAAGCTCCTTCAACATAGCCCCCTGGTGTCTGGTACCCAGCCAGGGACACCATCCACAAAATTCTTCTTCTTTTTTCGCCCCCTTTCTTTACCATCCTCTAAATTCTGAGACATGGGACAATTGAATCCGCCACCACTACCCCCCCTCCTCCTCGCCCCCGGGCCTGTGCCCTCCCCCCAATGTGGCTGAATGACACACAGTACTACACATGTGTAATGTAACAGTATATAAACAGGCCATTAGTTCGAACCCTGATTGAAATCAGAAAAATACACTAATGTTAGGGGTTAACCACTTCTAAAACAGCAAAGCAGGAGCCCATGATCTGTTCTGAGACATCTAACTATAGAACCAAGTCATCGGATCGATCAGATCAAGCATCAGCTCAGAGAATTGCAGGAAGCAACGGATAGCAATCAGGGTTGTCACGTGGGTAGCCCCACGGCCCAAGCCGGGGTAGGGCTTTCACCCCCGGACCCCCGCCCCCGCCAAAATACCCCCGCCCTGCCCTAACCCCGCC